AAAAAAATTTAAAAAAGGAGACATGGAAGATCCCCGTGAACCAGACTCCAGTCTGGCAAACAGTGTGTCCTCACTCCGCAGGTCTCCGAGGCGGGCTTGTCATCCCATGTGTGCGTCTGGTCGTCTCCCCGCCATTGGTTCTAAAGTTGTACAATGACGCTGAGGCGATCAGACCTAGAATGAAGCCAAACACCCTCTCTTCCCTGGCGCACAGCCCAAGTCGGGTCCCGTGGATTGAGCAGAGTCACTGCCCCAGTTTGCAGCGCCCAGGCCAGGATTCCAGCAGAGAGGCCTCTGCCGGCAGCCTGGCACCCTGCACCTGCCATCCCCACCAGGTCTGCACTGCGAGGGGCCCTGCACCTGTCCGTGGACACCCCAGCCGGCCTGCACACCCCCGTCCCAGGCACACCTGGCCACTCTTCAGCCATGGTGCGGGCACGGTGCAAGCGGCCCTAGACAGGATGTCCCGGGAAGCCAGGTACACTGAGGCAGAGAATTCTAGCATGAGATCTGGAGGAGGCCACAGCCAGAATGCGGCCCTCTAGAGGGCGGGGTGCCAGGCAGGACACATGACCTTCAGGGTCCTTGACCCAGAGCTCAGAGGTTTTATGCCATCCCGCAAGTCAGCTGCTATATGGTCTCTGAAGAGACGCCCCCCTCCCTCCTTCCTTTAGGGGAAAGTGCTGGAGAGGGCAGGAGACTTGAGGCCCAAGACCTGTCCCTTTTAACCAGCTAACCCTGCACAGCGGCAAAACCATCCCGGTCCCGTGCCTCCAAGGAGAAAACAAAGACCATCACCAGCCTCCCCACGTGGTTGGCTGGACTCCCAGGCCGTGAAAGTGCTGGGCCCACAGGAGATGTGTTTTCTTACGGGGAGTCAGGGAGGAGGTGCGGCTCTGGATGGACACAGCCCAGGACCCGTGGAAATGAGAGCAGCACCCCGCGTCGGCTCCAGGATGGACGCCTACAGAAAGGACTCTCCCAAGGAGCTGAACAAGAGCCTGGATGAAAACACACCTGGCCCACAGGAGGGACTCAAACCTTACTGGTGACGGGGGGCAGCGGTGACAATTTCCCAAGTGACTCTGTGCCAGGCACATGCAGCTCGTGCTTTGCTGGATCATTCCTTTTAATGATCGCAATCATCAAAGTAGGCTTGCTCCTGCCCTATGGCCGTTGGCTTGTCGGCTTGTTGGCAGCCAGACCAGGAATCCCACGCGGGTCTGGCCGCCTCCCGATTCTCCTTCCCGCAGGGCTCGGCAGCCCGGCTGGTTTTCCCGCAGACGAGGAGGAAAAGTCACCACACTCCTACCTGCCTGCAGCTCCCACAACAGGTCAGTGGTTAGACATTCCAGCCCAGGCCCCGCGGCCCCTGCTTTGCCAACACACGAGAGCTCTCTGTGTTCCCATCATGTCTGCGTAGCTCGTGGAAAACCCATCCCTGGGAGAACCAAGCTTGCTGATAAGCCAACCAACCGCACACACAATCTCACACCTCAGCACGTTCTGAGTACACTTTCCAAGGAGACGCACACCCAGGTACTTGGCCGACCAAAGACTCGGGTGGCAATCTAGGATGTGGCTCACAGCCACCTCAGGAACGTGGGAGTCTGCCTGGTTCTCCAAAACAATGCAAAATAGGGGCGCCTGGGTGGCTCAGTCGGTTAAGCGTCTGAATCTTGATAATCAGCTCAGGTCATGATCTCAGGGTCGTGAGATGAGCTGCGCGTCAGACTGTCTACTGGGCTGAAGATTCTCTCTCTCCCTCTGCCCCTCCCCCCCTCAAAAAATAATAAAAAAATTAAATTAATGCAAAATAAACCGTTTTCACAAGCTGTGTGCCATGTGCGCTTGAGTCCACATGTTCTGGGGTCCATTCATAAAAACGAACCACAAGAATGTTTCAAGACACCAGCACTGCCAGGCCCAAGGCCAGCCCCGGCCCCCACCAGTCTCCTCAGGAAGCCATCTGGGGGGCTTGCTGGGGCAGACCCTTCCCCCACGCTGGCGGGTTGCAGCAGACACGGCCGGGGCCCCGGAGCCTACTCGCCCCTCGCCCTCGAAGGACGAAACCACTTAATTGCCGAAGACAAGACCTGATGCCAATACCCTCAGCCCAGGAGACCATGAATGGTGAGAACTGTCAGCACTACTGGGCCCTGCAAATTCGTGACTCTGATCTGGGAAGAGGTGCGCAGCGGGCAGGGGCTGCAGGGGCTGCAGGGGGCTGCATCGGTGAGGCAGCACGGCGTCCTCTCCCAGCCCTGCACTAGCGTCTCCTGTGCGGAGTCCTCTTCCCTCCCCTTCACCCCTCCCTCCCCTTCACCCCTCCCTCCGCTCCCCTCCCTCCGCTCCCCTCTTCAGGAAAGGGCAGCCGTCCGATCCGCTGAAATGGTCGCCTCAGTCTCACTGGCAGGCCTGGGGCACTGCTGTATCCCATCCCTCGGATCTTGCTCTTCTGGCCCTCTGCCTCTGATTCACTTAAACACAAGACTCCCACCGAACGGGGCACGGAGGGGAGACTGACAACACTTTCAGCGACAGGGTGCCAATTCCTTATAAGAAGTCCCTTTGCATCAGCCGCCCAGTCTGTCCCCCCAGCCCCACACCATATGGAGCAACCGTCTCCTGAATAACGTGCAGGCAGTAGAGGGAAGGGCCTTGATACTATGAATCACCTTTCCCTTCAGGCTCTCCTAGGTCCTACATGGTCCTACACCAGGCAAGACAGGCATCCCTTGTGTCGCAGGGGGGCATGGTGGGGGTGGATCCCCAACGGAACCCCCCCCCCGATAAAAGGCAAGGTGCAGTATGGGCCAACCCTGGGGGACCCCCACCGACTCTGGGACAAGCTTCTTCTCCCCCAGCAGCCTGGCCCCTCCCTGGGTGTCTGAAGGACCCGACCCCACAGGAGACCCCAGCTGACGGGACCTTCCTGGGGGGGCTGGCTTCCCCACCGCACCCCCAGCCCTGCTGGGAGAAAGAGCCACCCTGCCAATTCCAGCTGTGAGAGAAGTGAGCAGGAGCCGCTTCTCTGGGAAGAGGAAGGCTGAGCACGCCCACCAGCACCTCCATAACTTCCAAGGACACCCCATTAGGATGGAAGAAAGCACGCCTTCCTTCCTGGAGTCCTGCTCCTCACCAGCTGAAGCCAAGCCAGGGAGGAAGGAGGCAGTAAGAAGCCAGCACTTCCTGACACAACTGGTTGTGTCTTCTCTGGAGATACCCCAGGATTCTCCAAACATGATGAAGGCTCAGTACTTCCTCGCCAAAGCGGCAGCCTCCAGGAAATGAGCAGGTGCGCCTACACCTGCGTGCAGAAACATCCCTCCCATGCCCTCCTCCCCACCGGCCCCACCGCATCCCTAAACTGTCCTCTAGACCACCAGGGCCGAGCCTCTCCCCCGGGGCCCCCACCCCTGCCCTCCTCCCAGCCATGTGCCTGCACCCCTGACCACCAAAAGGCGCCTCACTGGTGCCTCCTCGGAACACATCCAAACCGAGGCACACGTGGGTCACGCCGAAAGGGTTTTATTTAGGAGCCCGCGTGCTGAAGCTCTGGGATTTAGAAGGTCACTCTTGGCGGCGGGCCGCGTCTGCCAGGCCCAGCAGAAAGCACCCGGCAGGTGGCCCCGGTATTGATGTGAAAGGCGGAAGCACTGAGCTTTCCCCCCACACACAGGATTCCAGTTCCAAGGTTTGGAGGGCGCCCAGGTACCAGGCGGCCGGTCCCACTGAGTCACCGCTCTGGCCCATGAGTCCCCGGTGGAGGGGAGAGGTAAAGCAGGCCCGCACCTGGAGCAAACAGGGCGGAGGAGAGAAGGGAAAGAGAAACCACCCATGAGCTGGAGGGAGTGGAGGGACAACTGCCTGTGCAGGTGTGCTCCTCCCCGAGCCATCTCCCTGGGCACCCCTCCGTCCTGCAGAGGCCAGTGTGCCTTCCCGACAGCCGGGGCCTCGGGAACCTGGGGACCCCCCCCCCCAGACCCCGCCGCACCGACTGCGCTTCTCAGGAAACAAGAATCTGAGAACAGGTGAGTCAGCAAAGGCTACAGAGCTTTCATCCAAAGCCAACGGTGCAGGCATCCACAGGCAAATGCACAAACCTTGCAGAATGCCAAAAAAGAAGAGAGGGGATTAAAAAAAAGAAGAAGAAGAAAAAGAAAAGCAAAACCCCGCTCCAGAAAGAACAGAGTCCCGGGGCCCCAAAGGCACTGCTAACAGCTTTAGCAGAAGCAGCTTGGTTGTAGCAGATAATCTCAACCCCCAGGAAAGAGCAAAATGCGAGGTCTCCATCAACCCCGAGAAGTCAGCCCTGCTTCTGGAAGCTGGCAGACGTCTGGGCAATGCAAGCTCTGAAACAAGCCACGACCCCCAACCCACCCCTGTGGGAGGGGTCTTGCTGCGGTAACCTCCTGGGTCCCGCAGGGTTCCCAGTCCAGTCTGGCCTACACCCAACTTCAAACCCGGTCCCTGACACTGTGCCTTTTCCAGCCAACCCAATCCCCATTCATCTGAATCACCACGGTGATTTTTTAAAATTACATTTCCAAGAGCAACAGTGTAGAACAGGGCAGAGAAACAAGGAGGATGTTCCTAACCAAAGGCTGCCTTGTACTGCTTCTTCCCCCGAGAAAAGGAGAAATGATTCTATGTGTACGTACACACACACACGTACACACCTGTATATGAGCACGTATAGGTTTTTCCCTGATGCTCAGAATTCTTTGTGAACTAGCTATGCCTGATTCTGCTGAACCCTTTTTTGAAAAAGGAAAGAAAAGGAGCCAGAAACACCAGTTACGCTTCTGCTAGAGCTGGCCAGCTCTCTCAACATTTCCACTTTGAACTTTCGCACAGCCATCACCAGAAGCAGGCCAAAATCTGACCAAGCCCAAAAGACCACCAAAAGGTCAGATGTCTAGAATGTCATAGATCCAGGAGAGCAGAATGTCAGAGATTCTAAGTTGAATATCCTTCAGGCTTTTGCGTTTTTTAGGTTCCTGTTAACTTCTGAACTTTACTCTTTACTTTTATCAAGTTACCTTAAAATTATGTTTTTTTAAGTCAAAATGTTTCTACCCCTGCCCCTTAGCAAGGCAAAAGCCCTCTTGAGGAGTAAAGGGTGACATTTTAAAGGGGCATCCAAAGGGTGGTAGAGGCGACTCTCCTGCAGTAACATTCGGAGCCATCGTTCGACACACGCAAGGGTGTCAAAGTTTCATCAACAATGTTTGTTTTGGTTTCAACACCTCAGACGAGACAGCTTCCAGATCCTTCACACCCCAGGCTGCAGCTGACCAATGTTCCAGAGGATGCCAACACGCTGGAAATAGATTTTACCTGAAAGAAAAGGAAGAACCAGTCAGTGCCCTCAGCAGAACCCTGCATCCATCCTGACCCTAATGGTCTCCAACCTGCAGGCCACACTCGCCAACCACAGGACCTTTGAACATGCTGTCTGGAAGGCAACCCCTTCCTTTCCTTCAGATCCTAGCTCCCCATGCAGACGCCCTAGTACACAACTTCTTTTGTCCTTGTAACCCTCCTTCCTAGCATGTCTACCAGTGTTTGCACCAGGCCTTGGCAAAATTTCTCTGTAAAAGTCCAGAGAGTAAATATTTTTTTCATTTTGTGGGTCCTACATTCTCCATGGCAACTACTCAACTCTGTCCCTGTGGAGCAAAATCAGCCACGGACAGTACGAAAATGCTTGAGCATGGTGGTGTTCCAATAAAACTTTATTTGTGGACCCCGAAATTTGATCTGCTAACAATTTTTCCACGTCATGAAATGTTAGTTTTCTCTTCGTTCTTTTTCAACCATTAAAAATGTAAATCATTCTTGGCTCATGAGCCATACAAAAACAGGCCGACAGCCAGATTGGACCCACGGGCCAAAGTCTGTGAATCCCTGGTTTGTGTCATTATCTGATTCATTCCTGGCTCTTGCTTAGGCCGGGAGCTCCTTGCAGGCAAGACCCTTGTCTGAGCTCACTCACCTTCAAACCCGCAGCACCAAGCATGGTACCAGGCAACATAGTGGGTACAAGGAACATTTGTGCAGTGAATGAAAGAAAGCCGGAAAACTAAATCCATTCAAGACATCATCCAAAGAGACTCAGGAAAGGAGGGCAAATCTGCGAAGTCAGAGCCATCACCATCCTCTGTTCATGTTTGATCACGGGCAACACAAAAATCACACATGTAAAAACAGTGGGGATTTAACAGAAGTTATAAAATTATGAACGTCTTTTCAAAATGTTACATGATTCCCAAATATAATCATTATCGGGTAACTACTTTCTAAAAGACACAGACATCCTATTTGTAGGAAATAAACACTTAAGTATTTCCTGGAAAGGGACATGATATATGTAACTTACCCTCAAATAGTTCAGCAAAAAAAAAAAAAAATCCATATGCACACACACACAGCCATCATCAGGCACATGAGGCAAAATGTTAAACCAGGAAAATCTGGGTAAAGAGTATACTATTTTTGCTTTTGCAACTTTTTTTAAGTTGGAAATGACATCCAAATAAAAACTTCAAGAAAAAAACCCAAATAGATAGGGGCATCCTCCTATTGGCCACTAGGGTACCCTCCTCGACAGACGAAAAAGACAAATCGCCACAGCCGTGTCCTGCGTGGGGTGGCTTTCTTCCAGCGCCCACATGCCCCCTCCCCTGGGCTGAGGAGTGGGGGGCTAACCTCCCAGACTAATAACATCCACGAGCCCAGGCACTCCCCCGCCACTCTACAGATGCAGACTGCTGGACCTCAAGTGTTCAGAACCCCCCCACCAGGCCTGCCCCCCACGGTCAAGCTGCATCCACTGCAGGTTCAATGTTGAGGATGGCGGGGGGGGGCGGGCACCAGGGGCCTGAGGCTTTCAAAGCTCTCAAAGACCAAACCAAGAACAGGCATGCCGATATTGCTGATCTAGTGATGGCACATCTTGGCGATGCTACGAGAGCATACCCCAAGGTCCTCAGCCGGGACCCCTATGGGCGCCCATCCCCCCAGGCAGCTGTGTCCACCCCTGTGCTTATATAGTATAAGCGCACATGAAGGGTGGAGTGGAACAGGGCAGACACAGGGGGTCCCCCACAAATCACCACACTGGATACAATTCCTCAGTTCCTCCACAGCAGAGCTAAACCTGCAGGGCAACTGCCCGAAAAGAGAAGACAACAGAGCTTCCACACACCTCCAAGGGGGAGCAGTCGCTCTGGGCACATGCAATCACCCTTGGGGGTCACCAGCTCCTTCAGCCTCTCCCAAAAGAGGGAGCTCCATGGCACGTCTGAGCAGTGGGGCTGGCTTCAGATGCCGGTGACACTGACTCAGGAAGCCCCAGGGCACCATGGACATGGACCCTAGGTCTCCTCACTTCATCTTGCTGCCTCCCCAAGCTCATGCAGCTTTGGGGCTCTCCTCTGGAGGGCTCTGGGGGGTGGAGGGCTGAGGCTCACAGCTGCAGCTCACCTGGCTCTCCTTCTGCACACCCAAACTCGCACATGCTATCCACTCTTCCTGCAACGCCCTCACACCTCCCTGCCCGTCCACCTGCTCCAGGATGCTTCCTTTCAAACCCACCATAAGCTGCACCTCCTTTGGGAAGAGCTTCCTGCCCAGGAGGGGCACCCCTCCCGGCTCTCCACAGTACCCCATTCTTTCCTCCCCTGTGGTTCTCGGGCTGTCTTGTGTCAGTGTTCCTGGCTGTGTCCCCGTCTCAGCACAAGCTCCCGGAGGGCAGGCCAGGCTCACCCATCCTCACAGTGACTGCAACAAGCAGGCTCACAAGCTGGCCACACGGAGCGGGGCATGAGCAGAGATTTCTAAATGGACGCTCTCAGCCTCTCTGTCTCCCCCCAGAAGAGCCAAAGCGCTAATGACATTCCTGCTTCATCAGTAAGATAAACCCGAAAGAGTCTCCATGCTGAGCCCACCCCCCAACCCCCCTTGGAAGTTCCCTGAGACATGAAGACGCGTTTAGGTGTCATGCTCCCTGCTTATTCCTTTCAAATTTCCAAGTGTCCTGTCCAACGACACTGGGTCATAACCATCGCAGAGAAGGAGAGGGACGTGTCCCAACCTGTCCATGTCCCATGCTTTGTCTGTCAGCAGAAAGAGTCCTCCCCGCAAAAGCACCTGCCTCTGCACCTGTCCCGGAGCCCTGGCAGTTGACCCCTTTGTGCAGTGGTGAAGGACTCCTCAGGAACAGGGCACACGGGCCCCAGGAATAAAGGACAAGCCGAGGGAGGTAGCAAGGCCCCATCTGGGAGCGTGCGTGAGACTGACAGATGTGAGGATCACCACCGCCCATCAGCAGGCCTGTGGCTTTCATCCCAGGACAGCAAACATAGAAAGAAACCACTGGATAATGTGGCTAGCTTTTACAAAAGCATTGCTAGTGAGGATTATTTGTGCTGGGTTTCTTTTTTCCTTTTTTTTGTTTTTGCCCGATTCTTATGTAGCTCTATAAACTCTGTGGGTGGGTGGGTGGGTGTGGGTGTGTGTGTGTGTGTGTGTGTGTGTGTGTGTGTGCAGGAAACTGAGTAAGTCACATTCACTTAGTGGTAAATTTTCATTGCCACACAAATTCCTGTTCACATAGGTTCTCCCCTCACAGACATGAAACTCAAAAGAGTTTTAAGGTGCACGGTACCTTACCGAGAACTGAACCCAGATTGCCAATATTCCTTTTCAGGGAAACCAAAAGGTCTCATGACATGCCCATTTTACACACACAAGCTCAGCATCCTGTAAGGAAGAGGGCAGGCTGAGCTTCATTCCGAGTGCTCTGGGGATGACTCTGCTTCTGTTTCAGGTCCAGGTAGGATACTCGGGCATCCCCGGGGAGGGGCCTGTGGGTCAACAATTCGTTCCAGGCCTCAGAAGCTCAGGATACCCATCGCCTCCACAGCTGTCCACAGGTTGATGCTCCTAACAGCTTCATTCCTCACTCTAGAACCTTCGTTCCAGAAGATGAGGAAGCACGGGATATGCAAAAGGTCTTCTGAGCCCAACCTTCCAGAAGTCACTGTGCTGAGCGAACTTAGCATCCACCACAGGGTGTCCCTGGGGACTCTGAGCCCTGGGCCTCAGTCTAGGACAAGTGAGTCAATCTGTTTTCTCCTGCTCCCAGCCTTACCTCCAGGAGCCATTTGCTGCAAACAGCCACCCGATGCCCGTTGTTCCAAAGACAAGATGCCAGGCACAGTGCCTGGCGTCACAGCAAAAATCTCATCGGTTTCTAATGAGATTCCCACAGGAAGTTCTACCCCAGAGAGGGTGGGAGGCAGGCATTTCTAGAATGCATGACTGGATTCCCAGAGTCCACATCTTTTGCAAACCGAAGAGACACAGGAACGGGGCCCAGACGCACGGTGGGTAGGAGCGGTGTGCCTCCCAGGCTCCCAGCAGCCTACATTCGGGCTGCACATGGCACAGCCGCCGGTACCACCCACGGACAAACGGGAGGAAGGGCAGCATCTGCCTCCTGTTGGGGAAACGCCTAGAGGGGATCACAGAAGTAATAACGCGGGGGTGCACAGAGACCCAAAACATCAGCCACAGCTGCACGCTGGGCCAACCGAGCTCAAAGCACAAACGGCCAGGACTCAAACGCCTTGTGAAATATGGAATCATTTCAAAACCCCAGGGTTCTCTGTAATCTGTTTAGCCATCATTTCTTTCCTCTAATTAGCCTTTTTAAGTACAGAGCTGGAAATTCATTTCTGCAGATTCTGTTGCCCTCCCCCCTCGGGCCCCCACCACATCCGGCCCTAAGCATCGGAGGTCTCACCTCACGGATTAGAGCATCCCAGTTGCATCGGAGCCCAAAAAGAGGGCTCTGCACAGAAGCCTTGCCCTGGCCACCTTCTCCCCATTTCCTGCCTGGCCAATGTGTCCAGGCTCTAAGTCACAAAGTGTTATCAAAGAAATGCACGTGCAACAGTCTGAACCGAGTTACCGCCTCGCTGCCCCGGCTCCAAGAACATGATTTTCCTCTTTGCACTCACTCATAAACTAACCCAAGGTCCCAATTCAGCTGCATTGATTGAAATGTAGTCTGTTTCCCAGAGGAACCCCAACAGTTAGTTGAGCTATGTCTAAACAGGAAAGACACGTACCCGTGTGCAGATTATCAGGTACAGACAAGGAAGTTCTCAAAAACACTCAACCGAACATAAAACAGGTCTTAAAATTCTTGTTCTTTCAAACTTATTGACCTATAAAGTTGTTTGTAATGTGTCATTCAGGTGGGAAACGATTCCAAAACAGCATGTGTAACACAGTCCTACTACTATAAAAAAAAAAAAAGAAAGAAAGAAAGAAAAGAAAATTCACAGATACACACTCATACACACTCTAGTGGTTACCGTTAAGCGGTGAGATTACAGGTAATTTTTATTTTTCCTTTCTCTTGTCTGTAATGTCTACAGCATACTTTATACCTGTACTCAAGAAAGCTGTTGTTCGGTCTTCCTAAATGGTCAGTCGCCTTTGGGCCCAAGGACTGGAGCAGTCTTGTATCTCATGACCCAGCTCCAAGTTCACTTGCATCCTGATATCATTTCAACCCGCAAACAATGCAAACTTCCACCAGGAGCTACTTGAAGTTCAACAGGGAGGCAGGGGAGCGCCTGGTGATAGGAAAGCCTGTGGAAGGCAGCCAAAATGCTGACACCAGGAAAATAACTAAAAATAAGAGTCAAATACTCGATTTTCTAAATACTCAATGGAAGACATTGGAAACACACCCAAAGGAAGCCTAAGGAAGGGAGGCAGCGCCCCTGGCCCCCTCTGCCTTCTCTGCACCTGGAGCAGCTCCCCTACCATCCCTCAGCCCCTGAAAATGGACACCTGGGCAAAGTTCGTCTCCAGCCCCTTCTTGGTCAGGAGCACCTCTCAGCTGGTGAGCCGATCACTGTCTGCAGGGCTGCTAAAACCTCCAGAGACATCGAGGTGCCTGAGGGACTTCAGGTAATTCCTGTCTTAAAAATTACCACACAGGGCACCTGGGTGGCTCAGTGGGTTAAGTGTCTGACTCCAGCTCAGGTCATGATCCCGGGGTCCTGGGATCGAGCTCCGCAGGGCGTCTGCTTCTCCCTCTGCCCCTCCCCCTGCTCATGCTCTCTCTCACACTCTCTCTCAAATGGATAAATAAGATCTTTAAAATAAATATAAGTATAAACGTAAATAAGAAATACCATGCGTTGAGGGGCTCCATGCTATATTTCTGTGTCAGAGAGAGATGGAGCGCCCATTATTAAATGGCCAAGGACGATGCTCCACAGCATGCTTCAGAGACCTGGTTTCTTACCTGCTCTTGCCCTTACAACACACCAGGGAGCAGACTGAGACTTCCAAAAAAACAAAAGTATGAATCTGTTACCCTAACATCCACCACGTGGTTCATTTTATCATTTGCTTTTAGAAACAAAATCACTATGTTGAAGAGATCTCTGCCTCCCTGCCTTCATGGCAGCATTATGGCTTGACGATAGCCAAGACATGGAAACAGCCAAAGTGTCCATCGACAGATGAACAGAGCAAGAAAACATGGTATACATATGGTACACATACACAATGGAATATTACTGGGCATCAAAAGAAGAAAATCTTGCCATTTGCAATAACACAGACAGACCTTGAGGCCATTATGCTACGTGAAATAAGCCACACAGTGAAAGACTAATACCACATGATCTTACTCATATGTGGAATCTCAAAAAACCAAACTCGTAGAAAAAGGTCACATTGGTAATTATCCGAGGAAGAGGGCTGGGGGTAGGGGACTTGGGTGAAGATGGCCAGAAGGTACAGACTTCCAGTTAAGAGATAAGTAAGTACTGGAGACATAATGCATATCTGAAAATTGCTAACAAAGTACCAGCATCGATACAGCACAAATTGTCAGCCTCGCAAAGGCACTTGCTTCGTTATTTGAAGAACTAAGACGAGCTGTGGAATTTTCTTAATCTGACAGTGGTTTCAATATGTACCTTCTTCTCATGATCCCAGACACAGTATCACCCCAGCAGTCTTCAGACCACAATAAACGTGTATCCAGGTACTCAAGAAAGGGCCCCCTTTTCCACCTTACACCAAAGCACGAGTCTAAAGATAGAACATCTGGACAGATGGACTGTTCTATTTCTCTGTTAGGGTCTTTTCCTGTTTCGTGAGATCTGAGGCTTCCACCATTGGTTCAGTCACTAAATATGGATGGGATTCTACTCGGTGTCTCAGAATCAAAACAGTACATTGATCCACGTAAGCCCTCGAGCGCTCCCCAGTGTATAACACCCAGGCCTGCAGGTTGCAGCAGACCCTTTTCACTGTGACTAATAATGAAGACATAGTTTTCTTCACATTATGTTTTATTTCTGTGCATTCAATGTGAGACACATAAAATGGCTAAGCAACAAAACCAGTACAATCACTAACTTTCTTATGTGTATATTATGTTGTCAAATGGATGAGTATCACTGATTGTTTTGATTCTACTCAAAGAGGGCTATTTACCTAACATGCAAATTACAGCTAATAGTTTGTTCTGCTATCTACGATAAGCAATCCAGGGTTTAATGTTTACCTGTTCTTAACAAGATTTAGGTGTGATTCATTAACAAACTGTTTCTAATATTGGTATGTATATAACATGATCATGCAGACATTTTTTTCAGACATGATGACAAAATAGTATTTTTAGGTTAAAAATATACTCATACACACACATATATGTATTTACACTTGGAGATATATAACAAATATATATATTTGGGGATATATCTAATATATCTGGGAATATAGCTAACAAAAACCTATAAAACATTTACAGAGAAATTTTTGGAAGTACTGAAAGACATTTTTTTTAAATACCTAAATAAATGGAAAGTCAATCCATATTCATAGATTGGAAGGGTTCTGCTGATTCCCCTTAAACTGATACATGGAGTCAAAATCCCAAACTTCGTTTTGCCAATTCTGACAACTGATTTATACAGAAGGGCCAAGAACAGCCAAGGCTGTGCTGATCAAGAACAAGTCAGGAGAGGTGTGGAAGACGTGCCTTCTCAAGTATGGAGAAGCTGTGTGTGCTGGTTAATCTCACACATCACCTTGACTGAGCCATAGCGTGCCCAGGTATTTGGTCAAACACTGTTCTGAGTGTGTCTGTGAAGGTATTTTTGGGGGAGATTAACAATTTTTTCAGTAGACTGAGTGAAGCAGATGACCCTCTCTGCTGGGGGTGGGCCTCATCCAATCAGCTGGAGGCCTGAATAGTACAAAAGGTGGGTAAGAGAGAATTCACTCTCCTTGCTGACTGTTTTCAAACTGGGACTACTGGTCTTTTCCTACACTTGGACTGGGACTCACACCACTGACTCTCCTGGTTCTCAGGCCTTCAGACTTGGACCTTTAAAATAAATCTTTCTATTGGTTCTGTTTCTCTGGAGAACTCTGGCAGGGAAAGCTCAGGATGGGGTCCAGCCCCGATCTGTGTCTCCCCTCTGTTGGTAATAACCGGATCATTGGGCAAACAGCTTCCTCTTCTTTGAGGCTTTGAGCCCTTTTTTCTCAACTATGCTTACAGTGAGCATCTCACATATCCGCAGGACACTCCAAAAGGATCCAAAAACCAAACTACAACCCTGAAGTCACAAAGTCCTTCGGACTCTCCTACGGGCTGCCTTTCGGTCACGCCCCTGTCTTTGGAGCTCATCAGTAAATTCTATCCAGGGAGTAACCTCCATCCCACCTCATGCTCTCAGCCACGAGTTTTAGAGAAGCTGAAAGAGAAGTGTCCATCTGTGTGCACCACGTGTGACCTCTGTGGCTGCTCGGACCCCATCCCCCACCCCCCGCCCCCCGGAGGGCATGACGAGCTCGCTCTCTGACACTCAGCCCCCCTTTTCTTCACGCAGAGCGCATTTCTCCAGCATCCGCATCTGGGGAAAGCGGGAATAGCCGCTTCTCTGCAAGCATCTCTCTGCAGGCCTTCTGGGGGCTGTGCGTTCTAGGAAGGGATCAAAGCAGTTCCCTCCGTAAGCAGGACGCCCCAAGGTCAAACACGCAACCAAAGAACAAGGACACGTGGACACCACGCCTGGCCTCACGTTGTTTTCCAAGGTGAACATCCTACCACCCCAACGCCCGAGAGCCCGGGAGGGAGCTGCTGTCCCCACCCCATACCTGTATTTGATGTCAAATACTGTGGAGTCCTCATCGTCGTCGTCATCCTCATTCAGTGGGGCCATTTCCACGCGTTCAGCTGGAGTAGTGATGATGTCATACTTGCGGGTCTTCTTCAGCCTCTTTCCCGACCTGGAAGAAGAGAGACACGTTCCTGAGAACGCTAGGATCCCCACAGGTAAGTCACGCTGCCACCTCCAGCCCGGCTCCCAGAAGCCCTGGCGAACGTCCCAGCTCCGTCCCTTTCGGCCATGCGACCTCTACGGACTCCTGACCTCGCCAGCCCTCCTGGTCCTCACCTACAAAGTGGAGATGATTATGCCTGCCCTGAGCACTGCAAAGCCCAGTCGTCGAGAGAAATAATGCCCCCGTGCAATATTTTTAAAAGGGCAAAACTAATGCAAAGAAAATCTGCGATGAGCAGAAGATCAAAATGCTCAGTGAAGGGCGCCTGGGTGGCTCAGTTGGTTAAGCGACTGCCTTCGGCTCAGGTTATGATCCTGGAGTCCCGGGATCAAGTCCCGCATCGGGCTCCCTGCTCGGCGGGGAGTCTGCTTCTCCCTCCGACCCTCCCCCCTCTCATGCTCTCTCTCTCTCAAATAAATAAATAAAATCTTTAAAAAAAAAATGCTCAGTGAAGACAGGCTCCAGCGCCGTGTCTGCAGGGGCATGACACACCTGTCCTTCGCCCCCTCGCTCCTCATCCTCAACCCGGCCCCGCTGTGTCTGTGCATCCCCGCTCCCAGCAGAAGTGGCATTGAGATCAGCACCTGTGGGCCACCCAGGTGGGATCCGGGCCAGGGCTCGGGTACCCTCTACCTGTGTGATCACGGGCAAGTCAATTCATCTCCCTAAGCCTCCGTTTCCAACTAAATAAAATAGGATAAGGGCAGTATTTGTCCCTCACAGGCAGGAGAGGATTAAGTGAGATGGTGCACGGAAGGGGCCTGCACACAGGAGGCTCTCAGCAAAAATTACTGTTAGTAATAATAATAAACAAACAGAAGTGCTACAGCCTCTCTCAGATGACAAGCACTTGTAAAAACAAGTCAATACTGTTTCCATCGTGAGGATTTATGAGGATAGTGAGTTACAACGCTAAGCTTTTTACCTCCAGGATGGTAAAGGGTCACTGTGGGCCACAGGGAAAGTGCTAAGACAAGGCCTTCAGTCTCTGGCGTTAGTCACTCTGCACGAAGGATGCAATATTCATCCGGGCATGGCTGAAAGTTTATGATGCCACTGGGAATAATACTATTATCATGACTACCGACGCTCTTTGCATTTATTTCTCCACGATCTTGAACATTTTCCCAAATGCCTCCGTAGTCTATGGCGTCCCTCCTCCTTTCTGAGTATATCTGATACTATGAGAAACCAGCCAAGCCCCTCCCCCCCAAAAAATCATAAAGGGGGCCCTGAAGAATCCTATGATCCTGCAGACAGTAAGCTGTTCCCAGGTGGGGACCACATTCAAGACACACACGAGATCTCTCGGTCTCCAGCATATAGAAATTCTTTGGTCAGTTTGTACGATGACGAAGTAAGAAGCTTTCGGGTTTCTTGTAATTTCTTTACAACAGCAAATTGTTTTTGTCTCACCTAATATGATTTACCAAAAATATGAAAAGAGTCATTTACACAGGAAAAATATACATTTATCTGTATGTGTATCTGTATCTTCGGCATAACTCACCCTACACAATCTATAGTACCTGCTCCTCGGGGTTCTCTGGTAGAAAAGGAGGTGTCCTGTGAATCTGAGGACTTGAGAAAGCCCCATGTGGATGCCCAAAGAGACGGACACCCCAAGATGGTTTCAGGCTAAGGAGTCCCATTGCTGTTTCTAACTCTTTCTCACGTATCATGAAGCCTAGAAAATGCAAAATCTGATTTGAAAACCTCGTTGTGCCCCGTTGGAACTTGAAACCTAGTTTAGTCATTGGCCCTGGGGCAGGACTGACTACTGACCCTGGAAGAAGGTTCTGGAGACTCTGATTTTAGCTTTGTTTCATGGGAGTGGATCCCTATCCCCCATAAAATCCCCTCCCTCCTTCCTGATTGTTTATAGAGTCTTGTCATGACAAAATTAACCTATTTAATTTAAAATAAGATCCTTAAATACTTACCCAAGGAAGGAAGCTGGAAACCACCATCAGCCTCTAGAATGTCATGGCCTACTTGCTTTAATGCCAACCATTCCAACCACATGACCTCACAAAAGAATTTGAAACCCCAAGATATCACAAAAGGTATGATGGTTAAATGAAATGTCCAGACATTTCATCAAACGTTATTTCTGGGTGTGTCCGTGAGGGTAATTTTGGATGAGATTAACATTCAAATTGGCAGACTAAGTAAAGCCAACTGCCCTCCTCAGTGTTGCGGGCCTCATCCAATCAGTTGAAGGACTGCCCAGAATACAAAGACTGATCCTCCCACGAGTAAGAGAGTTCATCCTGCCTGATGGCCTTTGAGTTGGGACATTATATTTTGTTTGTTTCTTCCTTACCTTCAGACTCAAACTGAAACATTAGCTTTTCTTGGGTCTCAGGCCTGCCAGCCTTGGGATGGGAACTTTTGCCATTACAAGCTCTTGGGCCTCAAGCTTGCACATTCACCCTGCAGATCTTGGAACCTGTCAGACTCCATAATCTCGTGAACCAATTACTCAGAAAATATGTATCCATCTATTGATTATATTAATACAAATGATTAATATAGTAATAATATAATTCATATGTTATATATTGACATACATTCTGTGTGTGTGTGTGTGTGTGTGTGTGTGTGTGTGTGTGTGTCTATCTACCTACCTATCTTCTTGGTCCCGTTTCACTAGAGAACCCTGACTAGTGCAAAAGGCCATCAGTAAGAGCCCCCATACATGCTTTAAATGCCAGTTTTGACCTAATGAGCTGAAGAAATTACATTTCAAACAATCAACTCTCTGAGACACAAAAACCCTTCACAAACAAGGAGCCACGTCACTGTCCACTGTTGGACGTGTTAACAGGGAAACTGGGACCTGTGAGAAGTTGAAGAGACTCAGACTCATTGGCAGAGGCCTCCATGGACAAGCGCCTTCACGGGCGGGCAGGTGGTGGGCAGCCACTGCATGACGTATGACGCACTGCCCTCAGAGGGCACAGGATGGGAGGCTCCCCACATATTTCTCACCATAGAAAGCGACCCCTCCTTCTGTAGCTGTGTACAAGTTAGCAGTGGGGAACTGTTCGAACAGTCCATGAGCCTCTCCTGCAGACTCTAACCGTCCTGGGTTGGAGAACAGTGCCATCCTGCCCCGGAGAACAGAAAATGGACATCTCTCCAGTTGAAATAACCTCTCCTAGTCCTTCTCTGTCCTCTCTGAGTGTGGACACTCTAACCCGTCTTTTCAAATTAATACTAGTTCATCATAGTTGAGCTCTTGCTGGGTGCCAGATAAGCTATTTACACACAGGATCACATGTGAAACATAAATCACTCTGTGAGGTGCCTCTGCCTCACCACTGAGGGAAAGGAGACTCAGAGGGGTTGACATCCCCATGGCCAAGGCCAAAGGCTGCCCCAGAACAGAGCTCCCTGGTGGTCACCTTGAACCATCCCCATGGCCAAGGCCAAAGGCTGCCCCAGAAGAGAGCTCCCTGGTGGTCACCTTGAACCATCCCCATGGCCAAGGCCAAAGGCTGCCCCAGAACAGAGCTCCCTGGTGGTCACCTTGAACCACCCATACCTGCCAAGAGGCAAGGGGCCAGCTCGCTCTTGCTACTTCCCCACTCACTCCCAACTGCAACCCCACTCCGTGCCCCCACCAGACTCCACACCCACTCAACGTTAACACCGAGAAACTCTCTGCCCTCATCAGACTTTTCTGGAACTTGCCACTTAACACAGCTCACACATTCCTACTTCAGACTGATCGGTACACACTTCTGAATCGTGGCTCCCTTAGGACATGAGCTGCTTTGAGGCAGGCCAGCACCCACCTCCCCCCTCCTTTCGGCATCTGTATCTTCAGTGGCCTGGCTGAATCCCTTTTCCATCTGGTCCCTGCGGTTGAGGACGCTGGGCCACTGACCACACCCCCAGCTCCAGGAGTGGACATGGGACATGAAACCGAAGCCTGTGCCATTTGGCTTCAACCCCCAGGCCGTGGCAAGAGGGACAGGAGTGGGGACCAATCAGAGCCAATGGCCCTTTGCTAGCAAGGCTGGGAAGAGGGGACATAAATGCTCCACCCACTGGCCTTGAGACCAAAATGAAGTAAGCCATCTTGCCACCTTCTAGAAATGGAAAATAGGGGGCACCTGGGTGGCTCAGTCAGTTAAGTGTCTGCCTTCAGCTCAGGTCATGATCCCAGGGTCCTGGGATCGAGTCCTGCATTGGGCTCCTTGCTCAGCAGGGAGTCTGCTTCTCCCTCTCCCTCTGTGCTCGCTCTCTCTCAAGTGAATAAATGAAGTCTTAAAAAAAAAAAAAAAAAACGAAGGGAGGGAGGGAGGGAGGGAGAAAGAAAAGCCAGCCCTCCTTGACAGCTACCAAAGCCAGTCGGGGCCGGGGTTTCTGGCACACACAATGTGGAGAATCCGAACCGCCACGGGGTCTCAAAGGACCGAAGGCAGGCACAGCATGATGTGGAAGCTACGTCTATGACCATGCACGCCATCTTGGGATTCTCTGACATTCTAATGGTAAAACTTCCACCTGTAAGTACAATTTTCTCATTTCATCAAACCCTTTCAAGCCCTAGGACACATCCCTGCTCTAGAAACAAAGGACCCCAAGTACCAAGTGCCTCAGTGACAATATCATAAAAAGTTTTGCTTAGGGCCACCGGGGAACAGGTTTCCCAAGAAGACAAACATCCTAGTGACTCCTTCCCACAGGGCTGTTTATAAGCACACCGGCCTAAGGAAAAGGCAAAGTCCACATGGCCACAAAGACTCTGAAGTCCCCTGAGTCTCTCCAGGGGACCATGGGTCAGCTTGTGGACACGGCCCTCCCTTCACTCACCAGCCTGAGAAGAAAGCTCTAGACACCTGGTTCTAGAGCCCAGGTGTAGAGTCAGACCTGAGTTCATAACCCAGACACATGTGGGGCTGGACAGGGTTGGGGGGGACCAGGCAGAAGAG